CCTAGTCCTGTTTCTACCTCCCCGCTGCCTCTGCTGTTCAGCCGTCTCCTAGAGGTGTCTAGGTCGCCCTCATTATCTTAGATAATCCTACGCGCCACGAGTGTGGTGGCGCCGCTTTGCTTTTGATTTTGTTTGCTTTGTTCCCTCGTGCTGCTGGGCCGTGACATGATGATTATATTAATAATACTCTATGTATGGTTGAACAAAGACTCTTTAATTCCCTCGTAGTTTTCTTAAATGTTCTTGTTTTTCCGACTGCATTCAGAGCAAAAGGGACGAAGCTTACACTTAAGCATATTACCCGTATGGATTTGTTTATGATGGTAATGCATATATATTGCGTACATACTGGAGGCTGCTCAGTGGCCCTTTTTTCCTCTTTGTTTTTGTTTATTTTTTTACATATATATAGATGTCTGTAATGAACTGCAATTTGTACTTAGAGAAGAACTTACCTTGTAAAACTCACCCCAGAAACATTTACATTCATCTATATGATTGCATGAGCATGCCTTCTCAGGACACTTCTTTTATGCTACGTTTAATTTTCTGGTCCTAAAAGTTCAAAAAAGTGAAGGAATTTTACTCTGAAATGCTTCAGAACCACTCGCCCATCAAATAACAACATGTTAGATACTTTTTTCCCTCTTTTTTTGGTAATATTTTCTTTTTATATATTTACATATACATACAGTTTTCTGCTTCTCTTTGTTTTCTCATGAGTTCTGTCTTAATATTAAAGTTGAAAAGGTTATGCTATAACTCCCATGGTGTGCATGAATTTCTTTTAAAGTACTAAGAAGACAATGTTTGAAAAGGTCAGATATCTACAGACTTTCTGAATGATTCAGAAATAATAATTCCCTAGAAAGAAAACTGGAAATTATAGCTGAACTGTTTGGCTATTCAATTCTATCAGACATACCAAACACGTATGAGTGTGTATTGATGATCTTGATTCACTACAATTATTTAACTGAGCATGCATCAAGATATCATTGTTAATCAATCATCCAGGTAAGTAAATCCCAAAAGCTGCTTCTGTTCATCTGGACGTAGCGTTTTCTGTGGGAAAAATGTTTCGTCACTCATCCAAGTGACTTCTTTAGTCTCAGCCAATTTTATGAGCAGTAAATTTGCGTAACGACTAAAACTAGAACCACTGAAGGAATGGGCTGTGAGATCAGTTCCTTGATCATTAATATGCAAATTCTCATTACCATTAATCAACGACTGCTGATCAAAGCTCGGTGATCAATAGCCATGAATACCTTTCACAGAGAGTTGGAGAATGGCAGCATTGTAAGATGGTAAAAGATGGCCTTGATTCAGAGATGGTCTTTCCCTTTTCATGTAAATGGCCTCCATGACTCCTCGCTCAAACCAGCGTTCTGTCCAGAACATGTACATCCTCATCATCGACAGTGTCCACGGGCCTGTAGACTTTGCATGAATCAACTTTTGGAGATTTGGTTAATGATGATTCCCCTCTTGATTTGGACAGCTGGGAAGGCCAGATGACGAGAAATGCTCAATGTAGATCAGAGAGTTGGTTGTCTTTGGAGGTAAAAGCTTAACCACCCCCCACCCCCCCCTCTCTCTCTCTCTGTGTGTGTGTCTCTCTCTCTCCTGTTTGAGAAATTCTCTCTGTCCTCATTGGGACTTTATCTGTTTCGTTTGTGAACTAATTCAGATCATCATCACAGCCTTTGCCTCTTTCATTCATTAGGCTGTAAAACAAAAATACTCGTTCAGTGTAGTTTTCATGTAGGGACTTCCTTTCTAACACATGTTATGGTGCCGTATTTTAAACATCAAGTTATTTATTCAGATTGGCGCAATTGTAAAATAATAATAAATTTTCAAGTGGACAAATTACTTTTTAAATTGTGTGTGGATTCGAGCACGCAAGAGTGAGTCGCGAAAAGTTGCACACAAATCACTGTACACATTTTTAAATGACTTTATCCTTGTGGATAATGCCGTACGTATTTGTAACCCTTTTGAGGAAGATTTCTCTCCAGAAACCTGTAGTGTATTTTCTTCAACGGTCGCAGAACGTTTTCTTAATGTTATCTTGTTCGCCACTAATACAACAAAATAAACACGTGATTTATCCGAATTCCGATTATACTGGTAAAAACGTCTTCCACAGTTTGAGAGGTCTACTTATCTCTTTAGATCTGCTAGTATTTCACTTTAAACAATTACTTTTTACTTAAATTTATTATTTTTTTTTTAAATGAAAGTGAAAATAGTTCTCACCATACGTCATAAAACGGAACCCTTAGCTGTCTTCTTTACTTCCGCGGTTGATGAAGTCTAAATATTATTTTTCTTCAGCTAACTAGTGGTTGAATAGCCAAGTTATTTCTCCTGAAAAATGAAGAATATAGTTGATACACTAAATAAATTACTTATTGTGATAGCAGCGCTTCAATTTAGGTACAGACCTTTTATGGAACTCAGAACTGGGCTTATGGAGGTATGACGCACTTTCGCATTTTGGTTAAATACAGGCCGAGACATATACATATCTTTTGTTGTATTCTCAAATTTTAGAATGTGTACGAGTTTTCTGAATCGGAGACAGAGGAGCCATGGCGAGGACAAGTTGCGAAGTATTTGCATCTGGTAGGTAATAGAGAGTTTAAATATGTTATAAATCTCCGAGACACAGGTTTATTTCTCGCTTGTAAGACTTTGTATTTGAGACACATTCAGAAAAAAATATTGTCAATCATTTTAATGCACTAAAAGAGAAATCATTTACTTCCTTGTTACTAAAACCGGCAGTTTGTCTTGAAACAACAACTGATCAATAATATTTATTTTCCTGCAACGTTTTCTTATACGTCCTTATTACTCCATGTACTCTTGTGTGTGGATAGGAGTAGCATTTGTGAGTCTTCAAAAGTTACTAATTCGTTAAATGTGTTAGTTATGTAGCGGAAAAAATCTAAATGGATGATTTAGATGCCCAAGTCTGAAAATGTTATGTCCAGATAAACGGAATTAACTCTATAGGTTCTAACTATTGCTTTTAGGTTGATCTGATTTTCATACACATATACATATACATA